ATGCGAAAGTACCAAAAAAAAGTATCAAACTTCGATAAAACGAACTGCAAGGGATCGGTCGAAAAGTTCGTTATATCGAAGTGTACGTTATATCGAAATTTGTTATATAGAAACAAATAACCATTGATTTTTCTTGACCAATTCGCTATATAGAAGTTTCTACAACAAATTTGACACTTGACACAATTTGACACAACAAAAACAATAACTACAACAAGTTAGCAAGAAAAAGTTGGAAAAACAACTCCGTGACGCCTCTTGAATTTATTAAGCCAACCGCCACTCGCTTGAAAATTGGTAATTCCTTCTAAAAAGGGAATGGTCTCAGCTCAAAGGTCGGAATCGACTGGAAACACAGTGCATAACATAGAATCGGCAATGCCTAGGTGTGCATCGACGTAAACACTGAAATGTCAAGAAAACTAACGAAATTACTGAAATTGACGGGTGATTAAAAGTAACTTTAATATATTTTCTCGTTTTCCCGGTTGAAAACTTGTATCGCACAGCGTCCCATAGGCAAAAAACGTTAAATTTATTCTATTTTATTAAAATTTAGTTTGCTTTAAAAAAGAAATTGTTCTAAGAATCGCAAAAATTTCGCATGTGGGCGGAATTGAACCCGAGGGCAAAAATCGGTCCGCCGTTTCATAGAGCTAAGCCTTTATCCACTAGGCCACGACCCCACCTCTGGTCGGCAGCGAGAGAAGCCTTATAAAGGAAAAAACCTTAATTATAAAGGTTTTGAATCCCGATTTCTCATGCAAGATTCCTCGCGTTTCCGTGGCTATTAGCAGCTAATTTTGCGACTTTTTGTTCGCCATTGCCGATTTTATGTTATGCACTGTGTTTCCAGTCGATTCCGAACTTTGAGCTGTAATCATTCCCTTTCAAGCTTGCCAACTTCATCGATTTCTCTCAAAGCAGATTGCGGCCAACACATTCGTTTTGGCTGCGCGTTTGCTTCAGTTAAATAAGCACAACCAACCATCAATCGCTTGAAAATCGCTAATCCCTTCAAAGCTTGCCATCGCTTTCTCACGAAACAGATTGCGGCCAACACATTCGTTTTGGCTTCGCGTTTGCCTCAGCCAAATAAGCACAACCAACCATCAATCGCTTGAAAATCGCTAATCCCTTCAAAGCTTGCCAACTCCATCGCTTTCTCATGAAACAGATTGCGGCCAACACATTCGTTTTGGCTTCGCGTTTGCCTCAGCCAAATAAAGCACAACCAACCATCAATCGCTTGAAAATCGCTAATCCCTTCAAAGCTTGCCAACTCCATCGCTTTCTCACGAAACAGATTGCCGTCAACACATTCGTTTTGGCTTCGCGTTTGCTTCAGTCAAATAAGGACAGATTCTTCGATTGATTCCCATTTGCTCGTCTTCAATCATGCTCTTTTGCAGCTCCCTCCCTTCATCGATCGCTTCTATAATGATCGACCTCTTCCTAAGAATCGCTTAAATTGTTGATCGCGACAATTCGAAGTCCTTCGCCAATTCAGCCGTTCCTTTCGAAGTTGATTAATCGAGTACTCGCTCCTTCAAAGCCAAATCGATTGACCCGACGCGTCGACTTTCCTTACCTAAAATATAAGAATGTTCTCAAAAATTAAAGAATAAGAAAGAAAACTTTACATCAAGCACACTTAAGATAAAAGAAAACGTTACAAGAAGTAAGGGGTGCTAGCAAAAGCGCCAAATCATTTGCGCCAAACCTTGCGCCAATTTTCATTTGCGCCACGTTTCATTTGTGCCAAAAATTTCTGCGCCGCGTATCATTCGCGTTAAATTTACGCTTTTCAAAACACTTTCCTACCAACCCCGATTGTTTATTCCTATTTTTTCTAATTTTTCTCATCGACAATGCTCGCTACTTTGACGCCTTCGCGGCATCTGAAAATGGCATAAATCCAAATAAAGAGCAAAAAGCCCAATCGGGGGACACAAAATGACTGTTTTTTGGGGTATTTATAGGTATTTAAACGTGTTTTCTAATTTACAACAGTGAGAACTAAAATTGTGAAGCAGAAAACTGAAAAAGAGTTGGTTAGAAGCTGGGAAAAAGTTATTTGCTACAGTGATTTTTATAAGGGTAAATTTGACGCAAATGATACGCCAATGAAATTGGCGCAAAGGATTTTGGTGAAAAAAAAAGGCGCTACTTTGAGGTGCTTTTGCTAGCACCTCAAAGTAAGCATTTCATTGTCATTTTAAAGCATTCAAAATTCAGTAAAAAAAAATTAGATATTCAGTCAAAAAGCACAAATTCATTTTTACTTAGCGCACATTTTAGCAAATAATTCGTTCATCGAAATGAAATATACGTTAACGGGGGTAGGCTACTTTCCTGCCATTTATTTGCGCAACAGGGTCATTTGCGCAACAGGGTCATTTGCGCAAGTACGTTTGCGCAACTTTTTTATTTGCGCAACAGGGTCATTTGCGTTAACTTTTTTTGCGCAACAGGGTCATTTGCGCAACTTTTTGACGTTTTTAAGGGACGTTTTTTAAGGGAGTTTTTGGCGTTTTTTTTTTTGTTGTTTAAAATTCTAGTACGGTTTTGTTTATTCTTAAAAACCATTGTTAACTAATTTTCCGCATTTTCCCAAGAATCCGCATCCATCGTATACTGCGGTCAGACTTTACGAAGAAATGACGCAAATAATCAACCGTTTCAAGCTTTCATCGGCTATCAATCTCACTGTTGGACAAAACTACACACGGAAGAAAACTGTATTGGCTCGACAAAAGCAACGTTTTACTGCTATTTCTAATGGTCGCTTGCCCGGTTGCGATTTTGTGCAACATCTTTCTCAGCTTTTGACTTATTAAAAAATTTGATTTTTATTGTTGTCCTAAATTTCATTGCTATTGTTGTCCTAACTTTCATTGTTATCGGTTGCACTTTTTGTTAAAGCGATAAAATACTTTACTAATGGTTATTAGCTCTTAGAAAGGACTAATTTAGATAAATATTGGAAGATTGTGCAAAAAAATTGGAAGATTTCATAAAAAATAGAAGAAAATAAAAAAAACAATAAAAAAAGCTGAAAAATTAAAATAATGATTAAAAATTCGAGTGCTTAATACAGTGTTAAAGTTGCGCAAATGACCCAGTTGCGCAAATGACCCTTTTGTTAAAAAAAAGTTGCGCAAATGACCCTTGTTGCGCAAACGTACTTGCGCAAATGACTCTGTTGCGCAAATAAAATGGCGGAAAGTAGCCTACCCCGTTAACGTATTCAAAAAGTGTTCGTTATATCGAAGCATTCATTTTATCGAAGTTCGTTAGATCAAAGGCTGTTTGATAACAGCGTTTGGCTGAGACCGAATCTAGGGTTCTTTGTATCGAAGTGTACGTTATATCGAAGTGTGACGTTCTATCGAAGTTCGACTGTATTAGCTTCAGAGTGAGCACCGTTTACGATCTGGCTTGGCGCGTCACACGTCGCTTCATCACTTTGTGCGAAGCTCGCGGTGAATGGTATTCTACTCGAAGATGACTGGTCACGTTTAGGACTTTCAAGAAAATGAGGTACTGTGAACATCAAAACTTTAACACAATCACGACGATACGGCTCACCGTACTAATGTACTAATGACTGTCGTACTAATGACTGTCGTACTAATGACTGTCGTACTGATGACTGTCGCACTAATGACTGTCGTACTCAATGACTGTCGTACTAATGACTGTCGTACTAATGACTGTCGTACTAATGACTGTCGTACTAATGACTGTCGTACTAATGACGTCGTACCAATGACTGTCGTACTAATGACTGTCGTACTAATGACTGTCGTACTAATGACTGTCGTACTAATGACTGTCGACTGACTCGACTTGTTTATCTTTGAATTTTCACCATCAGTAAAACAGTAACGAGTACGCGACTGTACGCAAAATACTATCGTCGTGAATGTATCAAAATTGGTAGGTAGATTAACATTTTGTATTATAAAGACTCAAACTGAGCGTCGAAATTAGACGAAAATTGAATTGGGCAAAAGGTTATGGTGTTAAAAGATGACGATAGTTTTATCAAAACCTTCTTTCAACTCTAGTTTCAACTTTTCTCTAAATCGTGCATTTAGGTGCTGAAAATCGAGAATCTTGACCGAAAACCCCTGGGGAAATTTGCGGTTATGCTCGAGTCGATTACAAACTCCAGACGCGCAAAGATACAAAGATTGAGGTGCTGGCGTCTGTTCCATCCACAACCTACCAGCCGAGTTATCCGTGAGTGCTATTAGTCATTCAAGTTCATACAATCCAAGTACTTTAGCTCATAACTTTTATAGATTTATCGAATTTGAATCTAGTTTTGTTATCATTCACTTTTCTCGAAAGCCTTTTTCAGAACAATCATTGTCCGCTTTCTCGAAGTTGATCCAAGATTTAAACCGGCACCGAAATCAGGAACTGAAGAAAAGGCAAACAAATTTGAATCGATCAAAATTCGAAAACCAATTCTAGCCTCATCTCGTCCAAGATGTGAATGGCGATGATTCGGTGTATACTTTAAGAGAGTTTCGCAATGTTAATGGAGATGGTCATGAATTGTCCTATGATAGGTCAAAGGTATACACTGTAGGTAAATCAACCAACTGGTCTTTAAGATCTACAAACTCTATAATGTGAAAATATATCAAGACGAACATCTCATCCATTTCTCTCATTACGGACTCAGCGAAGCAGGTGGTGATGGTGAATTTTTGATTCAACTGCAAGTAGTCCTAACTTGAATATTTTCAGATTCATTCCATTTTGCCAATTCTAAAGTCCCAAAGGCTCCTTTGATTCCTTTTCCGATAGATTACAAATTACTCTCCGAAGACGAGAATTTCCAGCGATAATCGATTCATGAAATAAAAAGTCAATTTTATATGCAAAATGTTATAGATATAAAGTAAAAAAACAGTGTCCCAATAAAGATTGACAGAGAAATTCGTATCCTATCAAATCTGAACTCGAAAAAAATGTTTCATTTAATACAAAAGCTCTGAATGACTAAGATGTTCAATGTCAACTCCTCTTGCCAATTCCACGAAGGGCATGCTCGAAAACACGGAGGCATTGAACTTGTTGTGAGCGTCCATTGAACGTCGCTGGTGTTCCTAAAAAAAGTGATTTAACCAAGGTTTTCTCATTAGAATCTCTTTTCACCCTTTGCAATGAGGCTTAAAAGATATAGTATATAAAGCCAAAGCCAAACTCACTTTCAACAAACAGAAAAACGCTGCCGGTTGATAGTCAATGTAGAGCTTGTGAGCAACAAGTTCAGGTCTAAAATAATAATTAAAAAGATTGAACCAAACTTGAGTAACCTCTTTAATAAATTTGGAACATCACCAACACCATATACGCATGAGCTATGGGTCATTTTTCCTAAAAAAGCGATTTGAGAGAAAAAATGTCGAACAAATGTTTACCATGACAGAGTTCTTCGTCTTTATCGTTCCGCCAAATCTAAATATGAGAAAATAATTAGCGTCCGGAGAACAAACTTGAAAACGTCCAAGCCAATAACGGACCGGCACATCGCGACTTGTAGCTGCAATTATCCCTAAAATGCATGATTTTTAAAGTGCCATCTCTTTCAACCTTCTATTTTCTAAAGTTTTATACTCACCATTTGATTTTGTTATTTTCACGTTAATGTTCATTCTCGGATACTTCCTTTGCTTCAAATTTGTTTCGCTCTGCCTTTTCGATTTTTCCCGTAAAATCAAACGAGCGTCAAATCCACCTGGTATCGGAAGTCCTAAATTGATCCAAATCTTAAATTAAAGAAAATGATCTAACTGCGCATGTTGCCAAAGATCGTCGGCCAAAGTAGCTCGTCTGAGGCAATTGGCGATACATTCAGCCATCTGATCACCGCTGTGGTAATTGCCTAAAAAAATTTTTGAATTCATTTATATTGAAATTCCTTTAGAATACTTACGCTGTGTTCCTTTGTTACAGCATTCATTCCAGCTCTCGGCACCAAGGCTGACATTGATGCTTTGTAAATCCGAAGTGGCGCCAGTTCTCCTCGTGTCTAAAACATTTAATAAATATAGTAATTGTAAATTTTGGCGAGAGTAAATTTATCGCGTTAAAGCTAAGTTTAGGAACTGTAATTTATCTGTCTTGCATTTCATGTTTTTAAGTTTGCGGCTACGGGATAAGCAAGCAGGCCTAGAGCCACATTTAGAGTTAAAATTTGGTATCCAAATACACTAAAGACCAACATTCCTGGTTTGGTGCGGCGGCTCCACCACTTCCACATTCACCGTCTGATTTAAAGCCCTGAAGATTCGAACCATCTCCAGATTCGTCTTCAGCGGTACATCAAAGCCAGATAAGTACTAAAAAGTACAAATTGCGTTTAAAAAAGTTAAGCTTACGTACCTGATAGTACTTCCAGGGATGTTCTTGTTTTGCTAGATATTCAGCACAGCCATACATTGATGTCAAAAATTTCGTGTCCTCCCCAGCCGATTGACCTATTCGAAGTCTAAAAGGAAGCGACAATAAGCGAAAGAGAAGCTGAACCAACCACAACATGAATGTTGTCAAAACAAGAAGACAATCCGTGAATGGTCTCATTGAAAAGGGCATGTGAATCACGATCCACCACTCATGCAATAGAGATTCTGTGGTTGGTAAAAAGCAGAGAACATAAAGAGAAACTAAAAATTATTACATAAGGCCACCTGTCAAAAAACCTGTGCTAAATTTTTGTAGATAATCATCCCGTAAGCAAGCGGAAAGTTGAGTTCTTCAACTGATGCAGCGTCCAGTGGAAAATGAAACCATTTCTTTATGTGTGAACATTAAAAGTAAATCATTAAACTTCAATAAGATGTCTTCAACAAACCTCGCCTCTCCAGGAGATGTTGCGTAAATTGCCATTTCTCTGTCGACGTGGTCGAACTTCCACGAAGCCCATTTTGCCAAAGCCGGATTGTCCAGTTCGGGCTGATATTTACTAGATTCAAAAAAATGTATTATCTCTAGCAAAGAATACCGCTGTTGATCGCGTCACAATCAATGGAGATTCGATCAAGTAGAAACGTTGATTGATTCCATGAGGCTCTCAAAATTGATCCATTAAACTGAAATTGAAAGAAAAATTGACAACTTCTCTCATAGAAAGTTTCTTTACTTAGGTTTTAGCTGTACTTTTTACTTGTTCCCAAAAGTCAGAAATTTTCAAAAATTTGTCAATCATTCGGACAAAGAACATCCAGAACAAAGAATATTGTCGATCCAATCAAAGGAGCATGTACGAATACGATTGAAGGAATGTGGCAGAAGTTTAAAGCTCGACATAAAGAATATGCAGACTTTCACTTCACTTTGCTTAAATATCTTGAATCACATGAATTCAACGATTCATGTGATTCAAGATGTCTAAGGACGACGATACCTTCTACAACTTTTGATGCAAGCGAGATAAGATTATTCATTGGAATAAGTATATTATTGTGCTTCAAGATAATACCGTAAATACTGTAATTCAACGGCACCCCCTAATTGAACGCAGTCGCGTAGTCTAACTTCTTTAGAAAATCGTTTTTCTCAGCTCCTAGATTTTTCTCAAATACACTTTTGGTATCAAAAAATAGTAGATTTCAAGGGCTATCATTTGACACCCAAGCGCATACTGTAGCATAAAGCAGCGTGGAGAACGGAGCGTGTAAGTTAGACTACGCGGCAATACCCAGTCGTTATGGGGCTGCCGTTCTATTAGAGTCTTTACGGTATTTTTACGAGTATTCAGCCAAAATTTGTAATCTAATTTCGTAAATTGAAATCTAAAGCAGTCGAAAACTTTTGCCTGGTGTTTGGGGTGGGGACAAAGTAAAAAAGCACCGTTTTTACGTTAAACTAAGCAAAACATTGAGGCTTACATGAGAATTAGATGGCAGATAACACATGCGACGAGAAGAAACGCCGTAGAAAGCAGTAGCTTTGCCAATCGATGTAGTCGACCCTAAAATAAAGCTATTGAATAAAAAATGCAAGTTAGAAAAGAAAAAAGAAGCTTAAGAAAGCAGAAAAGTACCAACCATTCCGGGCGTTTCGAAAAATGATTTAATTTTTGGCAAAGTTGGTTTTTATGTTGTTTTAGTTTTAAGTTTAAAAGTTTAAATTTTAAATGCAAATTTGCGTGAGTGCCATGTAAATCAAGGCAAAAGAATAGACAAATTTGCAATTGCACAAAAACATTCATTCACGACGCGCAACATTCATTCATGCTTAAAATTTCGTCACTTCAATACTTTCTATTACTCTTCTACGCAAGCCTCACAGTAACACATCGAGTCGCGTATAATGGTGTCTTATTTCGTGAGTTTTAAGAAATTTTAGTGCTTTGGTGGTTGAGGGGCCACTTTTAGCTTGCCTTCTCAAATCTAGTGTTTTGAGCGGTTTTTGTCGATACTTTTCTTCTATTCCGGTAATTATCTATGCTAAAGCGATTGGTGCTAATTTTAGAGTATTTTCAACATGTTTCAAGTTAGTATTGCAGAGTTCTAAGTGTAGCTTTGAGCTTTGAGATAGCGTTCGGTGGTTCGGTGGCTAGAACACAGGGTAAATCATCGAATGGGATTATCAAAAGCATGCTTAAATTAGCACCAATCGCTTTAGCATATATTTCTTTCTTCAGAATGGAGGAAAAGTATCGACACGAACCGCTCAAAACATTAGATTCGATAAAGCAAGCCAAAAGTGACCCCTCCGAACCGCCAAAATACCAAAGTTTTACTAGGTTTCTGCTCAACTTTTAACATTTAATAGACAATATTGCCTACAAATTGGTTCTGCGCCATTTGCGGAACTACTAAACGAAAGAAGCTGCCAGAATTGAACTCTAGAATCTAGAAGTAGAGCTAGAAGTAGAAGTAGAAGTAGAAGTAGAACTAGAAGTAGAAGTAGAACTAGAACTAGAACTAGAGCTAGAAGTAGAACTAGAACTAGAACTAGAACTAGAACAAAATCTCTAATCTAAAGTCTAGATTAAAGATTTTGTTCTCTGTCTGGCTTAAGTTAAAGTTTGGCATTGTAAACTGAACTGATTTTCTATTAGAATGAAACTTAAGAAATAATCTCCCCATTCTTTAGAAACAATCTTTCGCAGTTTTTCATATTCAATCAAACTACTTTTTTTTAAAGTTATATTTTTCATTATTTTAATTTAGACGAGTCATCAGGATGCGACGATTGTGGAGCGACGAGTACATTTACGTGCCAATCGGGCACTCCGTTGAGCTTCCATGCGTGGCCCGAGAAAAGACTCACCAAATGCACATCGATTATAAAAAGGTGAAAGTTTGACTTATATGTTTAAATGCTTATTGTGTTGATATGTAAAGAAAGACAGCTTATAAAAGAGTAAAAAGCAGCAAAATCAATTATTAAAGCACATGTTTCTAGTTCTAATAAAGTTAGGGAAGCACTTTGATCTGATTTGGTCAGAACCAATTTTACGCGTGTTTTTCTAGTCTGCTTTTGCATTTTCTGTAGTAATCAAATACGCAATCCATTGGTGAAATTTTTAGAGTGTTTTTGAATAGTTTTTCACTTTGCATTTCATCCCTGGCCTCATTTTCTTGCCTTGCGGCACTGCAACATTTATACTTCAACTAGCTCAACAAAACATGAACAAAGATTATTCAAAACTTTCTAAAAATATCGCCAATAGATCCAGCATGCTTGATTACCCCGGAAAAAATAAAATAACATTGATAAAACTGTCGAAAAATACGATCTGATAAAATCAAATCAAAGTGCGCCTCGCCCCGAATTTTATTAGTACCCTTGTTTCTTAATAACTCCATACTTTGTGTATTCTTGGGTAAATATTTTATCTTACTATTCCTTTTTACAGGCCGACTGGCGATACCACACACGATATGTGAAGAAAGATGACAAGCTCTTACGGGATACGCTAACGATAAAAGGTGGTACTTTTGCAATTATTGCAACTAGTCGACTTTTAGAATCGATCGCTTTCACTTCAATGACACAACCTCTTTCCTGTCGGCGCGTTTCCTCCAGGCCATTCATAACAACACAATGCTCGAGTGTTGGATACCTATCGGTTATCAAGAGGTTTGTTTTGCTGGATTTCGTCTGTAACACATAAAAATCTAATTATTTTTATTCAGCCTGTCCGCTATGTTGTATCACGTTTCCGGAATCATTATTCAAGATTGCGGTGTTGAAGACAATGTATTTCTTAATCTCATGAATCCGTAAGTTCTTTTTTAATAGTTCATCGTTGGATTTAAACCCTAGTTGTGCTTTTGGTAAGTGCTCTGTGCGAAATTTGACGAAGGGCCTTCATGTGATAATGTGCGGTTGCTCGAATGCCATTGTCTTCAACATTACACTGGAATATTTTGTCAACGTGAGTTACTGTTTTATTTCAAATGGTTGGAATACTTTTAAGAAGCAATACTTCATTACTTGGAATACTTCTATAACAATATAATTATGATATCTTGTTTTTATCTAAATAAACAAGTGCTTTTGAAGAAGTTGGAAACGCGTTTGCTTATCTGTTTAGCTGTTATTCCTACAATCTCATTTGGATCTTCACCTTCCTTGGATTTTTGGTTTCAAATCGTTTCTCCGTAAAGTCTTAAAAATCAATCGCTTTCTTTAATGCATCTTTAGAAAAACTCGCGTAGCTCTCAAAGGACATCCATTGGCGAAAAACGGAGGACAACAACAAAAATGTTATCGATGAAAAGAGAAGCAAAAGTTCTTGTTAAGTGTTTTATTTAATATTTATCGCACCATTTATTGAACCTAAGCAAAAAGTTTAATGAATAAAGAGTAATCATAAAGAATCTTCATCCAGATTTCGAGCAGAAAGAGTGCGTGGTTCTAAGGGTGTAGGGCTAGGGTGATCGGCTTGTTCACTGAAATTGTTAGATTACTTGTTTCAAGAGATTTTTCCTTACCCAGGCATTTCAATGGGCTGGACCATAATATTTGGTGTCTCCGAACGAAAGATTTGATAGTCCTAACAATAAATAAGGTTTGAGAGTGTTTTTTAGAAACTTACAGGAGCCAGCCCTTCATGTGGTGTACCATTAGCTTTTTCATCGGCCGAAATGCGTCTTGCAAAGCAAGTTTCCCGTTTGACGTCTTCGCAAACTGAATTTTAGTATTAAAAGTCATTTTGATACAAATTTCGGTCAAGATACCAATTATTTAAAGTTATTTAATTTAATTTAAAGTTTATTCACCTGTCCATTCCCATTTTTCAATTGCCAAACTTCGGGCTTCGTTGCTGGCCGAATGTTGAAAATAGTCTCGAGGAAAGCCCGTCTAAATTCTTTTAGGTAACATCTTGAGTAGGTAGATATAATTTTCAGCAAAAGTTACCGCAATCCAGCCGTAAATGATTTAAAGATAAGTTTATCTAATGCTCAAGTTCATAATAACATCAT